ATAACAGAGGCCCTAGTTATATTGGTAATGAGGACAAGGCTGTCAGGAGTGTGGCTTGAGGGCAGTTAGAATGCCTTGGAGGACAAGTCCTGCCACAATCCCAATGCAAGAATGGTACTGAAAGTCCAGTTTGAGAATCATCAACCTGGAAGGGTTTGTTGGGAGTCAGGGGGAAGAAGGAGGGCTCAGGCCTAGGAAGGAAAAGAGAAAAAAGGATTTTCCAGATGGAACCAGAGACGGTTCAGAAGCTTACTCAGTTTAAGGAGTCTTGCAGAGAATGTGTCCATAATTTAAGACTGCAGAGGGATTGGGACAAATAGTACTGGAGCAAGGTCACCATAAGTACAGTAAAGTTTATCAGAGACCTTGGGGATCAGTTTTTAGAGTTCTGGTGGCCGGAAGGTAACAGAATGTGAAGGATGGTAGAGATAAGATCAATAGCAATGGAATAGAAACAGGCCAAGTAAAGGCAGCCGGAAGCCTGCAGGCTGGGGAGTGATTCCCTAATCTTCCTTCCCCACCCGGTGCCAGGTCCCCACCTCCCGGGAGTGTGTGGGCTTTGGAGCTGTGCAGGAGGTGGCCGTGGGGCTGGTGCAGCCAGCTAGCGCCGTCCTATATGACTACTACAGCCCTGGTGAGCACTTGGGAACCACGTAGCATTTGGGGAGGTTTGGGTCGGCACCCTTATTTGGGATGCCAGGAACCAGCACAGTAAAAGGTGGAAGGGGGCTCCCTGAGATGGGGAGGTGTGGAGGAGGGACATGTGCCTTAACTCCACTCTTTGTTTTTCTCCAGAGCACAAATGTTCTGTGTTTTATGGGGCACCAACTAAGAGCAAACTTCTGTCCACATTGTGCTCTGCTGATGTCTGCCAGTGTGCTGAGGGTGAGAGGCAAGGTCTGGGCTAGGGCTGGGAAGATGGGCTGATGGGGCAAATGCACCCCTCATCTGGGCCTTCCACCTCAGGGAAATGCCCTCGACAGCGTCGTGCCCTGGAGCGGGGGCTGCAGGATGAGGATGGTTATAGGATGAAGTTTGCCTGCTACTATCCCCGTGTGGAATATGGTTAGTCTCTTCCCTCAGGGACCAGCTGTCTTGGTCTCTCTGGATTGTCTGTTCCTCTCACAGGCCCATGTGTGGCCTCTTTGCTGTCTGGGGTCTCTCAGCCTCTGCTGACCAACCTGCCTTCCCTTCCCCTCACCCTTGCCTAGGCTTCCAGGTTCATGTTCTCCGAGAAGATAGCAGAACTGCTTTCCGCCTCTTTGAAACCAGGATCACCCAAGTCCTGCACTTCAGTAGGAAGGGAGCCAAAGAGGCGGGCAACTGGGGGAGGCAGGGAGGTTTAGGTGTGGGGTCTGGCCAGCTGGAATCATGAAAGTTCAGACTGAGCACACGTTCTTAGCAACCTGGGCTTGCCTATAAGTGGGGAGTAATAGCACATGCCTATCAGGGACAGTAAGGGTTAAATGATAGCTGTGCAGAGCCCTGTGCTGCCCTTGGCCTTCCCTACCTCTCTAATGGCTCTTGCACATATTATCCCTTCAGCCAAGGATTCCAAGGCTGCTGCTGGTCAGACCCGCAACTTCCTGGTTCGAGCTTCTTGCCGCCTTCGCTTGGAGCCTGAGAAAGAATATTTGATCATGGGTCTGGATGGGGCCACATATGACCTCAAAGGAGAGTGAGTTATCTGGTCCCTTCTGTCTTGTTTTCCTCACATCGATGACCTTCCTTAGGGAACACCTCCCTGGCACCCATCCCTGTCCCTCAGAAGCCAAGGCCTTATGCTCTCTATTCTGCATGCCCATCCTCCTGACCTCTGCTGACAGCCCCTTTGTTCCCTGCAGCCCCCAATACCTGCTGGATTCAAATAGCTGGATTGAAGAAATGCCCTCTGAACGCCTATGCCGGAGCACCCGCCAGCGGGCAGCCTGTGCCCAGCTCAGTGACTTCCTCCAGGAGTATGGCACCCAGGGGTGCCAAGTGTGAGGGCTTCCCCTCTCTGCTTCCCAGGTGGAGCCTGAGCTGGAGAAAGGTGACGCTTGGCAGTGCAGCAACTCCTTGGCCTCTGAACACAGCCAGGGACAGGGTCACAATAAAGCCTTTTGCCAAAGTGTCAGTGTGTATCTCTAGGATTGAAAGCAGCTGCCATTCTGGGTTCTGGGGGGCCAAGGCCAGATTTGTATAATCTTGGACTCTCAGAGCCTGGGGACCCTTGGACTGGCCACCTCTGCCAGAACCCACCCTGATGATGACTCACTAGACCTTAGTACATCATGGGACCACCTCAAGCAGAACTGTGACCCAGCAGCCTGTTCCTCAAGGACCAGAGTGTACCCTGAGATGTTCCCAAGGAGCTCCATCGCCCAATGTCATCAGTCACCTGGGCCTTGGGCAGGGTTTGTGCTCAGTTGACACATCACTTCTTGCCAGATGAGCTGTGTCCAGTCCCATGTTCCTACTCTGACCTTGTGCAGTTGGCAGTCCTGGGGTCTGTTGAATTTAGCTGAGTCCTAGTCTGTTGAAATCCTGTTGACCCTTGATCCTGTTATCAATAGCATTAGGTATCTTAAGTTGTGCAATCCGATGATGATGTCTTCATCTGGGCACTGATTTTAAACAAGCCCAAAGGCTAACTATGATGTATTTGTTAATACTCTGAAGGAAATGATCATTCTACTGGGGACAACCCACTCTACTCTGTTTGCCTAGCTTTCTCCCACTTTGGTTGAACCCTTGGGATCTTAAGCGGTGACCTTAGAAATCCACCCAGGGGAATTTACTGAGATCAGTTTTGATGCCAACTGAGACAGTCCAGCAGCCCACCATTCAATCATTCAACAGAAATTCACAGAACTCTAATTCCATGCCATGCCCTGTGCCAGATGCCAGAAATATAGCCATCTGTTCCTCCTGTGCCAGAGCACCCACCAGTGCTCAGCCTGTGGCCAGCTCACTGTTGGAGAAAGCAGAAATGAGAATGAACACTCCCCATCCTTTGAAAAGTGTGATGTCAGGGAGCAGTGTGGTCCTGTGGGACATCCATTCCAGTAAAGGAGAGTGCCAGAGAACCAGGGAAGGCTTCCTAGAGGAGGTGACATAGAAATTATGTTCTGAAGGTTGAGAAGGAGTGCATGTCATTCATCATATTTGGGAGTTGGAGTAGGGGTGGAGCTGTCCACCAGTGTGTCAGCTTTCCACATCAGTCTCTTTTCAAATGGAGCCCCCCTCTTCTTCCATGCAACATCAAGCAGTTCTGACCTTCCTTAGCACTTCAGCACTTCCTTGGATTCTGCTTAAGTGACCCTCTTGTTGCCATTTCATCTCTCCCTAAGCCATTCTGCATGATGGCAGCATAAACTCATTTGCCAGTAGCTGCAACTGTGACAAGACACAGCTCGGGCCCAGGAGGTCGACCATGAAGAGGACGGCAGCTGTCACTGCCAACTTCAGAAGTCCCACCCTTCTAGTCTCCCTTCAGGGCAAGGCATGAATCCAGGCTGAGCCTGAGCCTCTTTTAGGACTCCAAACAGCAGGGAAGGTCAAGCTAGTAGGTGGCACTGCTGGGATTTCAACTGGGGCTCTCTAGCAGCACAGCCTGTGCTCTCGATAAACCCCCAGGGGAGAGGGACCCCCTGGTCCCAGGAGCTATCTGCAGAGATAGAGAGTTAGGGGAAAGCCTAAGCTCTTACCTCCCAGGCAGCCCTCTTTTCTAAGCCCCCAATTACCTCCTCACAAAAGTAGTCCCTGATAGTTACTTGATCCAGTGAAAATCCATCCCTTAAGACTACAATTCCAGAAGAGGAGTAGCCCCTGGTCAGTTTTGGCTATTGTGCTGCTTCCTGGACTTTGGTATTGATGCTCAGTAATGCTGGGAATCCACACTCTTCTTGGTCTGACCCTGTAACCTGTGGACCCTGGCACCAACAGCAACCCCTCTCTGCCTGCCTGGAAGCATGTCTCTTCTCTGCCAGCAGGGGAGAGAGGGGAGGAGTGACAGAGGAGGCAACTGCCACCTACAGGAATTTTTTTTTTCTGCCTCCTATTCCTGGTCTTCAAGGCCAGAGATCCCTTCCTTGCTTTCCTATTGTTGGGTTCTGCAAAACATCTCCGTATTTGTATAACAATTCTTATTTTTATCACACGAGTTTAGGTGTGTTATTTTTCTTTGGGACCAAAGAGAGATGCCACTAGCTGTTAAAGGTACAGATTATGCAGCCTGATCACAAGCCTGAATGCTGCCTCTACCACTTTCTGATTGTTCTGGTTTTTGGGGAAGCCACTCAGCCTCTCATCTTAGGTTCCTTATCTATAAAATGGGAACAATACTAGTGTTCTATGTATAGCATGTCTGTGAAGGGTTACTTTATACAGGGAACGCACATAGAACAGAGTCTGCTACATGCTAGGTGCTCTAAATGATGACCCCTATAATTCTTTGCCTCCTGGACACTTCTGATAGTGCAAGAGGCTCTATTAATAATTTCGCAGGGACTACAGGTATATATTTGGATGCCCCCGGCAAACTAGGCCATATGGCCACCCTATCTAAAAGTAAAAACAAAGAAAACCCTATTTTCATCTCATTTGTCCTTCAAACAATCCTGGAGGGACACAGTAGGCAGGGACTGTTATTTTTCTCTTGGAGACAAATTTAAACCAGTAAAATTGTCCAAGGTGGGTATGGAGGGCGAGGGCCTGGGCTGGGGATGGACACATTGACCTGCATGGCTGACATGGAACTGGAAAGCTGATTCTGGATGAAAAAGGTCAGGGTTTTGTTTCCCTTCCTATCTTCTTGATAGATGGTATGTCCTTTGAAATGTGATATCTCCAAGGTCTATAAGACTGTCACCATCCTGGGAATGTGTCACTCTGTGGGTAGGACAGTGGGAAGGGTCCTGAAGGTGGGGGCTGGAAGGCTGCCAAAATGACCCAAGCAACAAGGCGGGGGCTCAAGAGTTATAAGTGGTTGTGACAGGGCCTCGCACAGGTCTCCAGCCATGCTGTTTCTTGGGCTGTTGTTGCTGCTGACACTATTGGCTGGCAGCCGCCTGCTGTGGGGCCAGAGGAAACTCAGGGGCTTCCACCTCCCTCCTCGTGCCCCAGGCTTCCTGCACTTTCTGCAACCCAACCTCCCCATCTATCTGCTCAGCCTCACTCGGAAACTTGGGCCCATCTACAGGCTCCGCTTGGGGCTTCAGGGTGAGTGCTCACTCCTTCCTTGTCCCATCTAGGTGGGGTCCTGCCCTTCCTGACACCTGCTTGGGCTCCCCCCAGATGTCGTGGTGCTGAACTCCACCAGGGCCATCGAGGAAGCCATGGTCAGAAAGTGGGTGGACTTTGCTGGCAGACCCCGAGTACCATCCTGTAAGAGCTGGGGACATTCTTGAGGGAGAAAGGGACTTGGGAGGTAGGAGAAGTTCAGGTCCTTGGCTTCTGTGGTCAGTTCTTACCATCCATCCCTGTGATTCCCACTGCAGACAAGCTGGTGTCTCACAACTATCCAGACCTGTCACTAGGGGACTACTCCCTGCTCTGGAAGGCCCATAAGAAACTTGCCCGCTCAGCCCTGCTACTGGGTGTCCGTGAATCCATGGAGTCCCTGCTGAAGCAGCTGACTCAGGAGTTCTGTGAGGTGAAGCTGGGCTCCTGCAGCCCAGCCCTTCCCATGGGTCAGGCTCCCCTCTCTCATAGTGCCCCTTTGCTCCCCTGCCAGCCTGTGTAGCTCCTGCTCTTCCCCCACAGCACCTCAGAGTCCAGGCCAGTGCCCCCCTAGCCATCCACAAGGAATTTTCTTTCTTTGCCTGTAACATCATCTGCTGCCTCACCTTTGGAAAAAAGGTAAAGGTTGCCCTCCCTTCCCTTCCATCCTCCCCCTCAATCCTTCCCTGACCCTTCCTTGGTCCCAAACTGAAAGTATTCCTTCGTTTCTGGCAGGATGACACCCTGGGACATGCCATTTATAATTGTGTTCAGGATGTCATGAAAGCTTGGAACCACTGGTCTGTCCAAATTTTGGACTTGGTTCCCTTCCTCAAGGTGAGGAGGTGGAGTCCAGACATGTAGGTGGGCCTAGAGGAATAGGCCTCCTTCTCAGCAGCTCACTCTTGCCTCCCCCTTCTATCCTTGTCCAGTTCTTCCCCAACCCAGGGGTCTGGAAGCTGAAGAAGATCATGGAAAAAAGGGACAAAATTGTAGAGCAGCAGCTGAGGCAACACAAGGTGGGAGTGACATGAATGGACCAGGCTCCCTTCAGCCCAGGCCGGTGATGCTACTGCCTCAGCATCACTGCTGGGTCCACCTTTGGACCTGCTGCCCCCACACATCCCTCCCCGAGCTGGGAACTCAGTCACTCCCCCACCTTCTGCAGGAAAGTTTGGTGACAGGCCAGTGGAGAGATATGATAGACTACATGCTCCAAGAGCTGGGGCGGCCGAGAGAGGACAGTGGTTCTGGACAGCTCCTTGAAGGGCACGTGCACATGGCCGTGGTGGACCTTTTCATCGGTGGCACTGAGACCACAGCGACCACCCTCTCCTGGGCTGTGGCTTTCTTGCTTCACCACCCTGAGGTGTGCGCCAGGGGCGGGCAAAAGGTTCCTTCCTGTCAGCTTGGCCAGGGTCAGAAGATCCCAGCTCCCTCTTCTCTTAGTGCTGCACCCTGGCAGGGGCTACATTCATCAAAAAGAACACAATGGCTCAGTATCTGGGTATCTGGAGGGAGTGGCTGGAGGTCAGGCAGTTGTGAGTGGGCAGCAGCAGAGCTTGGTCCCTGGTCTCCAGGCTTACCCTTGCCCCACAGGTTCAGCATCGACTGCAGAAGGAGCTGGACCTCCAACTGGGGCCCGGGGCTTCAAGCTCCCAGGTCCTATATAAGGACCGAATGCGACTGCCCTTGCTCAATGCCACCATCTCAGAGGTGTTACGCCTTCGGCCTGTGGTGCCCTTGGCCTTACCCCACCGCACCATCCGGCCCAGCAGGTGAGTCCCAAGGGTTAGGGATGAGTGAGGAAGGCCTGAGCAGGGTCCTGGTCAGCCTCTAACACCACCTTCCCTCAGCATCCTTGGCTATGACATTCCTGAGGATACAGTCATCATCCCTAACCTCCAAGGTGCCAACCTTGACGAGATGGTCTGGGAGCGGCCACAGGAGTTTTGGCCTGGTATGTGGGGGGCCAGGTGCCAGGCATGGAGGTGAAGGAGGAAATGGAGGAGGCAGAAGAGGAGGTGGAGGAGGCTCATAACTGCTAAAAACCTCCCTGTCCCATCCACCCATCTGCTCACAGACCGATTCCTGAAGCCTGGCAAGAACCCCAAAGTGACATCCTTTGGCTGTGGGGCACGCGTGTGCCTAGGAGAACCGCTGGCGCGTGTGGAACTCTTCATGGTGCTGGCCCACCTGCTCCAGGCCTTCACGCTGCTGCCTGAGGGTGCCCTGCCCTCTCTGCAGCCCCAGCCCTACAGTGGTGTAAACCTCCTGATGCAGCCTTTCCAGGTGCGGCTGCAGCCCCGGGACCTGGGGGCCCCAGGGCATGACCAGTGCCAGTGATGGGGCAGGATCAGTGCCAGCCAGGTGCCTCAGTTTCTCCTTTATTGCTCCCATAGAAACCCCTCCCCCTCCCCCCTGTAAACATGATGCTGTGAGGTCACAGGCAGAGAAGGCTTCCTCTGGTGGCTGGGAGGTGGAGGCATCCCTGGCTCTTCTCTGGGTGTGACCCCTCAGTGCTCGGCAGTCATACTGGGGTGTGAGAGAGGTGGGCAGCAGCTCAGCCTCCCCCTACAGGGGACCGATAGCTTCTTGGTCTTAGCTTCATTTCCGTAAAGGGTACAGAGAACTCAAAGCCCTTCCAGTGGTACCAGCTCACTCCCTGGGGAAAGTTTGGCAAGAGTCAAATCTGGATATCTCATCTGTCCCTACCCCTGCCCCTTTAGGAAGTGATTCCCAGAGATCTATCCACTCTCCCGGTACCCTGCCCACCTTCCATTGCAATCCTCAGCTGCCCAGGACTGAGGTTTAATCCTGAGCTGGCCTTTTTCACCTAATAAATCATCTTATTGGGATAACTCAGCAAGGTTGACTTTATTATCCCATTTCACAGATGGGGCCCTGAGGCATGAGCAACTCTGTCACATCCTGGGCTTCACTCAAGCAACCAAGCCCCAGTCACTGCAGCCCTGCTGCCTCCCCAGCCTCTTACCTGGTGGTCCACTGTGCTCCCATAGAGCCCATTGAGGTTGGCATAGTGGCAGTTCCTGTACCACCATGCCCCACGGTAGGAGACAGCGCAGGAAATGAGCAAGTTGTTGGGGTCTCGATCACGGGCCGAAAAGACACTGCCACTGTGGTAGCTCATGGAGTCCCCTGGGCAGGGCATGAGAAGGAATGGTGAGGTCACTCCTTCCCACTCCCTCTCCCAGGCCTGGGCCTGCTCTTACCTGCGGTGCCATGGTAGCCCTCCAGGTGGAGGCGGTAGTTCTCAGCAGCTGATCCTACTCGGAAGGAGTCATACTGGGCGAACACAGCCTCATCCCCAGCCCGCAGGTCCACACGCATGGAGTAATCACCAGCCTGTGTCAGGCTGTGTAGGGCTTCATTGCCTGGGGGTAGGGGTGGGTGCTTCATCAGAGACCACATGTCCACAGGGCCTTCATCCCCTCCCTAGTTCCCCAATCCCTGAGGCACTGACCCAGCCAGAACTCCCTGGAGATGTTCCCAAAGCCATGGGCATAATCCTCCCAATCCCTCCAGAAGTCTGTTTGTCCGTCCATGCGGCGCTGGAACACCTGGGAGGCAGATGGGAACAGCATTAGTCTCTGGCTTCAGGGGCAGCAGTCTCTGCCCTACACAGATCCCTGGGGTGTGAGAGAGGAGGGCAGCCACCAGCTGGCACCCACCAGCCAGCCGCCCCCATCGGTCTCCATGTCACAAAACACATTCAGGGGCCGCTCGCGATTGCCATTGAGGAAGATGGTGGTGGTTCTCGAGGTGCTGGGCCCATTCTGCATCTCCTCCCCACAGTCCCTGGGGAAGGGGATCCGCAGTCCACCTGGGGAGAGGAGTGTGAGAAACCTGTCCTTTTTCCAAACCTTAGACCCTGCAGCCCACCCAGCGCGGGCCCCAGTTCTGGGTACCAGTGGTGAAGGAGGTGGATACTGGTGGTGTGAGGCTTTGGCCCCACACAGCCTGGAGCCGTGCATTATAGTAGGTAGAAGGGAAGAGGCCAAGGAGCCGGTGTGAGGTGATTCCCGAGGGGAGCAGGATCTCCTGTGGGACAGACAAGACATAGGTCAGGGGAGGGAGAGACCTCCTGAGGAAGCCAGAGCCAGCACCTCCGAATCAATCCAGGGAGAGGAGGTAGCCAATAGGGTAGGGGTGCGGGCACCTGAGTCTGTCCACCAGGGGTGTCAAAGCTGAGCAGGTAGCCTGTGGGTAGGACTTGGGGCTCAGTCCAAGTGAGCAGCGCTGTTCTGGGAGTCACTTCCTTGGTTTCCAAGTCCAGGGGAGCCTTCAACCCTGGGAGGGGAAGATGGGAAGAGATAATGGGGATGAGGCCTGCCCGGCTCCTTTGCCCTTCTCCTTACCCATTTCACATACCCCAGGCTGTACCTGTGGTGAAGGTGATGCTGGCTGGGGAGGTGAAATTAGGTCCCCGGAGGCCACGCACAGTGGCAGTGTAGTTGGTGTGGAGTACCAGGTCGCGCAGGGGGTAGTCCACAGCACTGCCCGGGGCGGAGTCCTGCAGAGATGGGGCTGGGAATGGGGGTGGGTGTCAGCTCCTGCCATTCCCTGCTCTCCTACCCCCAACAGTCCCATGTAGAGGGAGTCTTCAGCTCTGCTCACCCCCTGGGGCTGTGACCTGGACGTTGTATTTGTCCACGGGGTTCTGGGGGGGCTTCCAGTGCAGCAGAGTGGATCCCTCAGTCAAGTTCAGTGCTTGCAGCTCAGTGGGGCCATCAGGAACTGGGAGAGGGGAGGGGCTCAGAGGGGTCTCCACCACTGTCCCTACTCCTAACCTTCCCGAACTCACTGGCTACTCCCTTGTCCACAGTCAGAGCTCCAGTGTCTCCCCTCCCTTCCCCTTGGGTTCCTTCCAGGCTCCTACCCACACCCTCATTTTCTCTCCCTCCACCTGCTGCGCTGGCCCAGTCCCTCTCACCAGTGGTGAGGAAGCCTGTGAGAGGCTCACTCTCCTCAAAGCCGCGGACAGAGACCACTGTCACCTCGTAGCGAGCACCTGGGATCAGCCCCTGAATTTTCTGGGTCTGGGCCCGGCCATCCACCTGCACACTCTGCGGCTCCCCTGAAAACATATTGGGGGCTAGGAGGTTACCCAGGGAACTCCATAGCAACTGGGGGTGGACAGAGGGCAGGGGCCGGAGAGATGAGAGAGCAGATGAGGACATGGGCAGAAAAGCGTTACCTCCATCTGCCAGCTGGTAGGAAACTTTGAAGCTGTCCACCCTGGATGTTGGTGGCACCCAGCTGACCATGGCTGAGGTCTCCCCAATTTCGCTGAATTGGAGGTCACGTGGACTCTCCAGAACTGAGGATGGGAGCAAGGGATGATGGTGAGGGCAGGGGCAGGGAGGTTCCCTCCCTTTCTCCTGGGCCTCCTGGCTCCAGAAGTGCCCACCACACCTTTTCTTAGGAATGGAAATTGCTCTCAAGAATCCTCCATGCCTCCTACGCACTCCCCAGCCTCCCTCTGGCTGAGGTACCAGGTCCATTTTAGTGGGTGCCCCAAATGGGGCCTTACTTGGGCTGAGGGTCCGGGCAGTGCCTTGGATGCTGTCAGCCTTGTGAGGCCCTCGTAGCCCATAGAGAGTAAGGCTGTACAGGGTCCCAGGGCGCAGGTCTCGGAGCACCGCTGAGCGCCTCGTCCCAGGCACCATCAGCTCCCGTTGCAGCAGAGGACGTGGATGTGGCTCCAGGGTGCTTGGTGATGGAACCCCAAAGCGGAGTAGGAAGGAATCAAAGGCTCCAAGTGGGGCCTCCCAGTTGAGCCGTAGCGAACTGGTGGTCACATCAGTCACTGACAGATGAGACAGGCGGGGCCCTGGGTCTCCTGGGGTCAGACCAGCAGGAGGAGGCCCTGGGAGGAACAGATGGGAAAGAAAAGTTGGAAACAGATACAGTGGCCTTCTGCCACTGCCCTGGCATATTTCTCTGTCAACAGTAGAGCTGGTAAAGGACTCCTTTAGTGGCTGCGGGTAGGAGCAGAGCAAAGAGCTGCCCCAGAGTCCATTGGCCTGCCTTCTCCTGGACACCACCTCAATCCCTCAAGTGATCCCCATTTCTGGGGGCCCCCTTACCCGGCTCAACCCAGGCCTGGCCCCACCTGTGGTGCCCTCTGTGGAGATGGGCCCTCGACGCATCCCTTCATGGAGACCATAGAGGGAGAACTGGTAAGAGGTGTTGGGCTCCAGGCCTGAGATGAGGACCTTGTTCTGATCACCATCCACAAGCAGGGCCTGGGGCTGCCCATCTGTGTCCAGATACTGGACCACAAAGGAGTCAAAGGGGCCCTGGACCACACTCCACGACAGGCGCAGTGAGTCTGGGGTTGCCTCGGTCACAGCCATCACCCCCAGCTTCGGTGCTTCAGAGGGCTCAGGGGCTTCTGGGGCTGGTGTGTCCTCTTCTGGGGCTATGTGGGGGGGATCCCAGAGAAAAAGTTAAGTGGAAGTGCCACAGGGCTCTGCTTTTTCCATCTTGCTGGCCCAAGGCCGGGGTGGGGACTTTATAGTTCTGATTAGGCTATCAGGTAGAGAGAAGAGAGGGGCTAAGTTCTTCTAGGACTTTCCATCTCTTAAATCTGACTTATTCCTGACATGCCTGAGGCTTGTTCCCTGATTGGAAAGCTGCTGTGACCTCATCCTCTTTCCAGGTATCCTGTGCTGTGTCTGGATCAAGTACATATTTTCCCCTTCCCCACCCAATCCCATCCAGCCTCTCCTCTAGATGTCTGCACAGGCTTCACCCTGTACTGACTGCCTGGCAATCATGGGGCTTGGGGCTTGGGACACATGGTATTCTTTCTGAGAACAGCTGAGGGTGGACCGGGCTGTGATAGGCCAGTCACACCAGCTGCCTCTAACCTGGCAGACCTGATGTGGATGTCAGTGACCTCTGGAAGAGGAGCCTGCCCCACAAATGCAGCCACATCTACTGGCTTCTGTGTCCCTCATCTGTTGTGTTTCCCAGTGATTTTCCATTTGAGGAAATGCTCCTGCCTCATCCATGGCAGGAAAGTTTGCCCCGGTCTGGAGGTTAACAGATACCCCAACAGAGTAGTGGGGGGAAGCCACATGATGGAGCAAAAACTGGGGTCAGCAAGTAAGGGAACCACCACCAAGACCTTTCCTTCTCGCCTGTCCTGGCTCCGCTTTTGTCTAACTCTGTAATCAATGGCAGTCTGACTTAGTGGCAAACTTTCCTTTTCCTTGGGCCCTGGTCAAGGCTCCCTCTCCTGGCCTGTCCACTCCGGTCAGTCTTTAGCACAAAGGTGCAAGGAAGCTACCTGCTAGTGCCAAGCAGGACAGCCTTAGGCCTCACCTGTCATTCCCAGGACGGAGACTGGGCCCAGGCGCTTTCCTCCAACTAGTCCATAGAGCAGAAACTTGTATTTCCTGCCAGGTTTCAGGCCCTCTATGGTGACTTCAAGCTGGTCTGCAGCCACAGGCACTGCCTGGGACTGCCCGTTGGTGTCCTTATACTGGACTAGGAAGGAGTCAAAGGGGCCCTTGGCCACAGTCCAGGACAGGCGCAGGGAGTCTGAGGTCTCCTCAGTCACTGCTAGTTCCCCTAGGCGCGGTGGGGGCTGCCGGGTTTTCTCCAGGGGAGCTGTGGAGAGCATAAGGGAGAATCCTTGTTAAGACCTGCCTGACCCCGAGCCCTGAGGTATAAGGGCCTTGGAAAGGTCCCCAGGTTGTCTCTGGGACAGCCACCTAAGGATGAATAGGCCTGCTCTGCAGGATGAGGGATAGCAGCCCGGTCCTCCCTCTGGAGGCCACTGCCCACCCGCCTTCCCATCTCTGCTCCCTCCCTGCTGTGTTCAAGGGTACAATAAACATAAAAGATCATCTCACCAGAGAAGGGTGGTACAGAGGGGGACCTTAATTTCCTCTGACTTCTAGCCTCTGAGCAGGGCTGTGGTCAGAGCTGAGAGACTCTCAGAGGGTGTCTGGATTGTCAGACACCCCCATGTGGGAGACCTGGGTTGGGCAGCCAGGCAGCTCACAGCTTCTGTCACTGCTCAGCCTTATCTCCTGCCATGGCCATCAGCCTGAACCATCCCCCCACCTGCTTCCCCAGTCCCACACTAATCCTACTGGACCAGGGCAGCTGGGGTAGGGCAGAGCTGGAAGAACAAAGAACAGAGAAAAGGAAACTCTCCCATATGGGGATGGCTGTTGATAGAGATCAGAGGAACCCATATGTAGTCTCCAAGTGAGAGTTTGGGGTAAAGAAAAATGGAGTCTGGTTGGGCACAGTGGCACATGCCTATAAGCCCAGCAGCTCAGGAGGCTCAGGCAAGAGGATCGTGAGTTCAAAGCCAGCCTCAGCAATAGCAAGGTACTAAGCAACTCAGTGAGACCCTGTCTCTAAATAAAATACAAAATAGTGCTGGAGATGTGGCTCAGTGGTTGAGTGCCCCTGAGTTCAATCCCCAGTACCCCCCCCAAAAAAATAATAATGGAGTGTGGGGCCCCAAGCCCTGACTGGCTGGCCAGGATGACTCATGGTCCTGGGAGTGGGTAAGGGTCAGTGACCCACTCCACCCTTTTCTCAGGGGGCTGAGTCATGGGCTCAAGGATACCAGATTTTTCCAGTCTTTCTTCAGCCAAGCCCTCCCTTACTTTCCACCTCTTGCCTCAGGGTTGGGATGGAAGAAGAAGGATGGGCAAACTGAGTGCCAGTGGGGATTATTCATCACCATCACGCAGGTGAAGAAGCCAATGTCCATGGCCACATGGCTGGAGAGGGCTGAAGTTGGAATCTGAACACAGGTCGGCCCAAAGCCTACTTCTTAATCCTTCAGCAGCAGTTTATGAATGAAGGTAATAGTGCATATGAAATGTTCACAATTGTGTTTAGCACACAGTAGGGACTTTCTTTTGGTGTTATGGTTGCTATGCCCAGGCTGAAGAGAGAATATATTTCCTGGGAAGGCCATGCTGTCAACTTTGGGCTCTCAAATAAGAGGCAGCTCTGGAAAGGGCAGGAGGCAGGGCCAGGGGCTTGCTTACCTGTGGTGCCATCAGCAGAAAGGGGGCCCAGCCGCTTCCTGCCTGCCAGGCCATACAGCAGGAACTTGTATTTCCTATTTGGCTCCAGGCTGGGGATGGTAACCTTATGCTGGTCCGCAGCCACAGGAACCACCTGGGGCTGCCCATCCCTGTCCTTGTACTGGATCACAAAGGAGTCAAATTCGCCTTCAGGGACCGTCCATGAGAGGCCCATGGAGTCAGGGGTCACATCTGTCACTGTCAGCTCTCCCAGGCGGGGAGAGGGTTTCTTGTCTGGGACTGGAAAAGAGAGGGAGCTGTATGGAGAGTGATGGCCACAGAGATGGAAGCAGAGAGATTGCTGTGTGTGTGTGTGTGTGCTATGCTCTATGGTTATGGAGGATATGAGGGAGCAAATGGACCAGGAATAGGTATAAAAGCACTGCAAAAAAAAAAAAAAAAAAAAAGTCAGCAAAGAAACTAAGGGTCTCCTGGAATGGGATGTAAGCAGGGTAGGGATAACGATGGGAGTGGGGTGGGGGAAGAGAAGCTCAGGGTCTGGATTTCAATAAACCTGATAAATAAATGGGTCCTGAGGTCCTAAGGTCTGGAGTGTGAGGCACAGAAATATGAAATCCCAAAAGTCACCACAAGGGGGCGGAGCAGGCCACGAGCTCCAGAGACAAAGATGGCCTCTGTCCTCCACTCACGGGTCTTGACATCCACAGAGACTGGGCCATGGCGCTTCCCATCCAGGAGTCCAAAGAGCAAGAACCTGTACTTGCGGGCGGGGTCCAGACCCGAGACAGTAACCTCACGGAGGTCTCTATTCACGGGAACTGCCTGGAGCTGCCCCTGTGCATCCTTGTACTGGACCAGGAAGGAGTCAAAGGGGCCCTGGGCCACGGTCCATGAGAGGTGCACAGTGTCCAAGGTCACAGCTGCCACAGCCAGGTCCCCAAGGTGGGGCTCCACGGGAGTCTGGGTAGGGAGGGAGGCTGGAAGAGAGCAGAAGAGGCTGAGGATAGAGGTAGGAACTGCTCAAGGGAGACAGTTCTTTCCCCATAACCTCTTCCCTGTATCCCAGGCTTTGCTGTAGGCAGTTCACACCTGAGAGTGCACCTAACTCCCAACAAAGTGCTAATAAAATTACCACCCCATACTGCAGGATCTGAGGCCACAGGGGTTAAGAAAAGCTTGCAAAATCACAGTTAGTACGCTTGGAGGCAGATTCAAATCTACACAGCCCAAACCTGGAGCACATTTGGAGTCATTAAAATATCCAGTCATGGAACCTGAAGGTGCAATTAATGAGAAATAGAGTGACTTAGAAGTTCTGGATAATGGAGGGAGGAGGGAAGCCACAATAAATGGGGCATGGACTACACGCCCATTTCACCACAAATTAAGTGATAAATAATATTCAATTCAAGGACAAGCAACGTCATTAGTAATATTTAAGAAAATAGGAACCAAGAGGTCCAGTGATAAGGTGTTGATATCCAAAAAAGAACAAAGAAAAAAACAGAGGGGACCCCAGAGTGAAGGGCCCGCCCCTTACTTACAGGTCACCCCGACAGCAGATGCAGGACCCACACGGTGGCCCTGGTGGAGTCCATACAGGTGCATCTTGTACTTGCGTCCAGGCTCCAGGTCCCCCACAGTGGCCTCTCTGTCCTCTCCTCCAATACGTACCACCTGGGGCTGCCCATCCCTGTCCTTGTACTGGATGGTGAAGGAGTCAAAGTGGCCCTGGGGCACAGTCCAGGAGAGGCTCAGGGAGTCAGGGGAGGAGCCTGTCACTGTCAGCTCCCCCAGGAGTGGCTCCTCAGTGGACTCTGGGGCCTCTGTGCTGGGTTCTGTGGGCCTGGGGGTCTCCTCCACCTCTGTGGGGCTGGGGGTCTCCTCCACTGCAGCTGAGAAGGAGAGACAGAGAAGGTGAAGCAGGCTCTCTAGGAGATGCACTCAGGTCTTGGGGAGAAGGAAAGAGAAGCCATGGCCACCACTGGCGGTACTGAAGTCAGTTTAGACAAGTCCAAGTTCATCCTTGGGGCTGAGAGGCCCTGCTCAGCTGACAAGCATGCCCAAGCTCAAGGTCAGCTGGATGGAACTGGGGGCAGCTCCCAGCACAGCACAAGTCCCTGCGGTCCTTCCCTGACCAGTACAAATGTTCCCTGCTCAGCTGTTACCCAAGAGTGAGAGTCAATCTCCCACTGGGTCCCACCCTGGGGGTCCCAGCATCCACTCACTTGTTACCCCAATGACAGAGACGGGGCCTATGCGCTGGCCACTGTGGAAGCCATACAGGTGCATCTTGTACTTGTGGTCTGGCTCCAGCCTTGAGATGGTGACCTCGTCCTCATGCCCTGGTACCCGCACCACCTTGGGCTGCCCGTCCCCATTCTTGTACTGGACTAGGAAGTGGTCAAACTGTCCTTCAGGGATTGTCCAGGAGAGGCTCAGGGAGTCAGGGGTAGCATCTGTCACAGTCAGCTCCCCTAGGCGTGGCCTGAGAGGAGGCTCGGGGGTTGTGGTGGGTGTTACTTGCGTGGTCATTGCTTCATCCTCTGCAGAGGGACACACACACATACAGGGACAGTGAGATCTCTTCTGCCCTCTCAGTTCAGAAGCCAAAGCAGCATTTACAACAAATAAAGCACCAAGGAGCAGAATGATGCTGGCCATGGCACCACTGACATGTCCCCTTCCT